CTTCTAAAAGAAACTAAGAAAATTAAAACGAAAAAGAGAAATTCATATATTTATCACTTAAAAAGAAAGTAAAAGAAAAAGAGTAAGGGACGCTCATTGGCCTTTCGGACTTAGCTTCAAAATCCACCGCACAATCTGTGTTTGGACCGCTAGTCAAGCTCCATTTGTTCAGAGCACCCAAAAGCCCACCTTTGTTCGCTCCTAGCCCAGTTCATTATCATAACAATAACCAAAAATAAAATGTATGCAAGCCCAAAACCCAATAAACGACAACCCTGCCAAAACCCTAAAAACACCTTATGATCTCTTCCTCCTCTTCCACGCCCATTTCTCACAAACCCCACCGCCATTAGAGCAGCAGCAGAAAATTCTCAAGAAAAAAGAGAGAAAAGGGATGGTTTCCGGGTCAGGGATCTGCGCCAAGCGGGTGGTGGTGGATGCTAGGCACCACATGTTGGGGCGGCTGGCCTCCATTTTGGCTAAGGAATTGCTGAATGGCCAGAAAGTTGTGGTGGTTAGATGCGAGGAAATTTGCCTTTCCGGTGGCTTAGTTCGTCAGAAAATGAAATACCATAGGTTTCTCCGTAAGAGGATGAACACCAAGCCTTCTCATGGTCCCATTCACTTCCGAGCTCCTTCTAAAATCCTCTGGCGCACCATTCGTGGGTGAGTTACTTGTTATTTGGTATGACGTTCAAGTGATCGACTTTATGTCTTTTTGAATTGCTGGCTTGGCTTTGGTTGTTTTTCACTTTCATTTGGCATATTGGAATTTGGGTTTTTATTTTGGGTACAATTTTCTGTATTCGTGTTGAGGAAAGATTGAACATTTATCTTCAGTTTGAGTTCTGTACTTGGATTTATGTTTCTGAATTTGGATTGATTGGAGAAATGTCTTTTGGAAATTTGATTACAAGGCTAATTTTGGGGATTAGTGAAATAAAGATTCCTATCTTCTTTGTTACTCTGTATGACGAGAATTACGAGTGTTCACAAATTCTTTATTAATCTGCATAAAGAGTTTTGTCAGTATGAGTTTGTGTAGGTGATGATGGGTTATGTATTTGAATGCACTTTTGGAAACATGTCCAAATGATTTGAAGCCATCAGAGACAGTCTTGTGTCTTCATTTCAGCTGTCCATCTGCTGGTGCCACCCTTTTTTATGGGAGTTTGCAGACATTAAACGGGTGCATTTATAGTTTTATTTTGGAACAAAGTTCGTTGTAATTTGATAAACAATTACTTATATTCAGTTTCATGAGCCCTCAGTGGAGTAATAGAAGATGCGGCACACCTGACTTACAATGACTTATCTTATAAACAAAACAAATTTAGGTAAAATTGCCTATTGTGATGCGAATGCATGGTTATATAAATTTCAGTTGCATGTAGGTGGCGAAGATTGGTACCCAAATTGGTTGACTAACGAAGTCTCTATGTTATAGTAGTAAGATTTAACTTGCCTGGAACAGAAAGGACTGATATTGAATGTTGAAGCTTGGAATTTAAGTTATAACTTCCACATGCCCCTCCCATATCTTGTACAATTACAATCCCTTTTTATTGGTAAGTTAATTAGGAATTTTTTTTTCTTGTTAGCCTTTTTGGTTTGTGTTTCATGTTCTTTTGAGCAAGTGATGGAAGCGAAAAAGTTATGAAACTGTAAAAACTAGAATTTTAGTGCCTAGAATTTTTGCTTCAGCCAACCTCTTTTAACAACAGCACAGAGACAGAGTTATGAGGAATAATTCCCCAATAGCTGAAACAATTAAAATTATCTAGAGGAAGAAAACCAAGGGAAGTTATCATTTTAAGACCTCGGTTACAAGCTTGGTGCCTCAAACATTACAGATAAAACAGCTAAGCACAGAGCCAAAAGACATTTCAAGATGAATCAAAATTATATTTAATTAGAGCAACTTACAGTAAGGATTTTTTTCATGATGGATTTCACTCAGCCTTCCATGCATTTTAGCATCATCCTATGTATCAACTAGGCAACTTTAACTCAAAGAAATAACAACAAATCTACCTAGAGAAGGTTCATAAATCAAGTACCAGGTCTTTTATATGTCACTGTTCCACAATAATTCCCTTAAAACTGATTTCATGAGTTCATCGTGATCATATTCCACTTATTCATCATTTCTTTTATATATGCACCAAAACTTTTGTGCTTAGATTGCCAAATCATTTTCAAAAGTGCATGCCGTGTTACATTTTGCAATGACAACAAAACTAGAGTTAACCAACGCTAAGACTACAACCACGAAGCAAAGAAAGGGCAGCAAAAAAGTTATTACCTTTGCATCCATATAGCTTTTATGATCGAAACTCTTACCGTCTCTCTGCAAAAAATGGCTTAAGGTCAAATGAACTAGTAAAGTACGATTCTGATTTGATTCTTTACATCTTTGTTTCACATGATAATAAATCACGTTTTGCATATTGTCTAAGAACAAATCCCTAAGCATGTTCTTCTTTACCAAATCCTTTTGAGATGAGAATCTAAGTATAAAATTAGTGAAAGAACAAATTAATACCAAACACAAAAAGTTCTTCAGAAAAGAAAAGCATCAAATTCTGGAGCCAAACAAGACTTAATGCATCAAAAATTGTACTTGACAGGATATTAGCATCAGCCTATTCCCGAATTATTGTTGTTTCCTTTACAGCATTGTAATTGAAATGGCTTAATCATAACATGTGACTTCAAATGTGCCTTCTATCATGGAAGATCATTAAACACATGAAGCAAATAATGAGAAACAGACTAAAACAGAGTAGTGACTGGAAGACATATAATGAATTACCTTACTGGAAACCAATGGAGCTCTCTCACCAGGAACTGTAACATCGGGTAGGTAACTGAAATCTGAAGCAATTAAAGACATCTTCGGCAGAGCTCCATGTAAAACCTCCAAAAGTTTCTGAATATTACAGATAAATGGTAAACATGAGCAAATTGCGCAGGAGAAAGATAGAATGAAAAACAAACTTTGTCAATTAGTTTTGGCATAATAACAAGCAACCAGTAGGTAGCCAACATCGCCGAGGCGGGGAAAACTTTAGCCCAGACATTTCTAACCAATGAAGCTGACGTTCTTCATCAGATTCTTTCTCTAAATCCAAGATCTCCATGCAGCTAGATATTAGTTGATCTTCTACAGGCTTATATAACTCACAGAGTTCTGCCTGTTAATATAGAAGAACAAAAAAATCACGTCCTGCATGGCTGATAACAGTTGTGAAGGCATGACATGAATATACAAACAGCCAAGGCCTCCTAGGCTTAGGTGTTAGGCAATATGAGCACATTCATTATAGCAGGGCATATCTAAAACATATACAAATACTTTTTAACATCTCATTAACTAGGGTTGATAATTAGTGAAAGGATCAAGATCCAGCAAGCTATTGATTGATTTTCAAAGAAGGAAGAAGCAGAGAGAATACATGGGTACCTACTCAAATTACAAATGTGAAGGAAGTAAGAAGTCTAGGCTATGGGGGAGAGAGAAAAATAGAGGTCACTATTTTCAGAAAGAAAATTAACATGTAACAATCTATAGCTGAATATCATAATTCTAATGTGGTCAAAAAGCAGAAAAAGAACCATTTCTTCCAAACAAAAGAGGTTTAATGCTTTTTAATCAAGTTAGCTATCACAAAAGATAAAAACTCCACATCATATTATGTTAGTAAGTAATATGCCTCTACCTGTGTTTTCAAAACTCGGACCGGACCGGCCGGTCGACGCGGTTGAACCGGAACCGGCCAGGTGTCCGGTCCGAGTTGGTCATCAGAACCGGGAGATTTAAAACCCGGTCAACTCCGGTCAAAAACCGGGTTTGACCGGTACAGAACCGGAAAAACCGGTCCAACAGGAGATTTTTTAAAAAAGTTCAAACTTTTTTTAATATTATGTTTTGACCCCTAAATTGTGAAAACTTATTAATATACCTCAAATATTTCATACTTTATAAATATTGTCCTAAAATTTGATGTTATTTTTCAATTAAATCCATAATTTTAATTCTAAACTTGTTAATGTTTATTAAATAATATAATTGTTACTTGATTGTTCTAATTTTTTGTATTTTCTTGTTAAATATATTTGAAACATCAAATATATATAAATATACTTTATTAATATCAATATGTTATTGATATTATTATATACAATAATTTAATTTTTAAATAATTTTTATTTATGACGTCATCCGGTTCGACCCCTATCGACCCCCGGTCGAACCCATTGACCCCTGACCCCTGACCTCGCCGAGTCGATATCTGGTCGGTTCTGAAAACATAGGCCTCTACGCATACATGTATGTAAACTGACTCTAATAAAGTCAAAGAAAACTTTGGAGGATAAGACGTAGGTATCTCCAAAATAAGCACAAGCACATAAGGAAAACCACATTATCACTTTTTAATTTTTATCGACTGCCAATATCTATTCCCCTTTCTAGTGATATCCAATTGCAGCTTCAGCAGGCCAAATGTTCTAGTATGAAGAAAAAAAATGTGGTCACAACCTGACATATTTGCATAGTACAAACAACACAAGGTATTTATGCGTATGCATCTAAATACTTAAAAGTACATTTCACACTTTCTGCCTGCTTTTCAACCCACACTTCCATCCATGGCGAAAACTGATCTCTAGAATAGATAATATCATGTGGTAGATTATCAAGAACCTGGAAAATCATCAAAATATTTCAGTAATAGCATGCACTTCGATGGTAAAAGTATTCAGGGTAAGAATCATCCTTGCCAAGAATATTTCAGACTTAAAGTAACCAAATTAAAAGGATAGCTGAAACAGCATGACCCATGTTCAGTTTCTGTTTCTATTATCTCCACTCTTCTTTTGCTTATTTCAGTGACAGGGAAGGAGAGAAATTAGACAACTGTTTGCTTGAATCAACATAAAAGAGCTAAAGAATTTATCAAAGGTATTTTTCCATAATTCAATTCTAATTGTGCTAGTCAGCTTCCAGTGTCAACATGTGAAGGCATCAAGAGGATTGAGATAGTCATCGTAAAGAGACCTCTAAACATAATAACCCAACAAGGTTGTTGATCTGCTTCCCCTGTTTCAACCAAAAAACAACCACCAATAATTGATTATATACCATTTACAGACAGACGAAGGATACTGCAAACCCAATTAACAATCTCAGATTTATCCCATGCATTGATAGATGAAAGTGAGATAAAAGAAATAACAGGCAGAGTTAGTACCCCATCCACTACGGTTAGCAGCATCGCGACACTCTACTCTAAACCTTGACAAATGACTTTGAACTGCTCCAACAGTTTCCATCTGCTTCTTAGCCAGTGAAGAACTAATTTCTATAGAGCTGAAGACAATAAACAATATTTAAGTATTAACTACGAAATAATACATTATTTAATCATTTAGCAAGAATAATTCTAATAGGTCCAAACACGCCTCTCAGGCATACATCCCAACATAATAAGCTCAGTAAGCATACAGGTTATGATTTCAATAACTTTTCTCTGCCATCATCACATACATATATGTCAAACTATTGTAGACTCTTGTAGGTGCATTCAACTTGAGATAATCCATAATGCCTTTGGCACAGGTCCCTGATCCCCCTCCAATTTCATATATCTACAGAAAAAAGACAGACAGAAAGCTCTTAAAGCAAATCCTTGAATATCTGTCTAACTACAGAAAGAGAAGTTGATGAATTGATGCATAGATGTAGTCCAGAGCCATAAGCAAAGATATTTATCAATCATTCAGAACTTACAGGTAGATTGAAATTTTAGCAAGGAACTCAAAAGAAGGAAAAAAAGGAAGAGAGAGAGAGAGAGATTGTGGAATTATTGTTTAAGCATATGTTAGGTAGACTGGAGATGTCACTTCCATTTCAAATAACACAATAAGTTACAGTGAGGAACTCATAAGACGGAAGCAAGACAATTAATACAAATTGAAGTTACTTAGATATGTGCAACAACAAATATATTATACCAATTTGAATTCATCTGAATTGTACAATACAGCATTGTGTGGCGATATCATCAGCACAAGAAAAAGTTTGCAAGCTAACATATCGTTGCACCTGATACTCCCTTGACCTACAACCTTCCATAGCTTGGGCACCAAGCTACAAACAAGATAACTAGAAAGGTACGTAATAGAATTAAGTATTCAGGCTCCCAGCAACAAGTTAGTAGTTTTATACCAATGAAGTAAACAAATAGTTCAAACTAGACCACTACTGGAGGTAATGACAAAAAATTAGATTGTAAACGAGGATTAGTATCCATGAGAAAATTGAAATAGGAAGAAAACTAAATATGTGCAATTTGTCATATTTGTTTGTTGTAAAAAAAAAAACTTTTATAAAATGTCAATAATTACAAAAGGATCTTTTTCATTGAATTAGAAATTTTTTACAATGAATTTATTGTGGTGATAGAATTTATTCTCTACTTTTGAGATATTAATATTTTTAAAGCTATATGAGGGTTGTAAGGGTGGTTCTAGATTATATTAGTTTGCATTGAAAAGGTATTTGAGCATTAATATTTAATATTAGGGTATAAAATTGGTTGTCAATGGGGATTGTGTTTTTTTTTTTTTTCATTTTTGTGTGGAAAGTATTGATATTGTATATACAATTTGAGATCTTTTGCACAGTTACTTGATTTTAGAACTTATGCTTGGATGGTCGTTAGGAATTAGACTTGTTGATTTGTGCAACGTGTAGAGGAATATGATTGAGTATACTATATTTTTTTTTATTAATTTTGCACAAAAGGGCAATTTAAGATTTTTGAGAGAAATTTAGTTTGTTGGATCTACATTGTTACTAAACAGTAAAAATAGGGGAGGTATATGTAATTTTTAAAACTTAAGGGGAATATTCTGTAATTGTTAAAAACCTCAGGAGAGATTTATTAAATTATCCCTAGATATTTATTACAACCATGCTGGTGTGGTTTATCCCTACATCCGGTGTTGCTACTTGCTACATAGTAAATACAAATCAAGCTCCAAATTGTGCATATTATCTCCAATTTCAAGATTCAAAGTTCAAAAGTCCTAATCTTCAGCGCTTGGATTTATTAATTAAAGTCATGAGAAGAGGTGGTAAAGTTATTTTCCCTTGTGATTCATATTAATGGGAGGTGAAAAAAGTATCATCATCATGAATTTGTGGGGTGGAAATTACTCCACAGGCTCCTCTCTCTTTCTCTCTCTACACATGAAGACATATGAAGTCAAAGGCAGCTCCAGCAAGCATCCCATATCCTTTATATATAGACAGTAATCTCCATCTTCATCAATTGTTTCTAGACCATATAAGAATGCTCATTTTTGTACAGTTGTACCCTATGTTTCTGATCTCTCATACACTAAAACCCCACTTATTTTAACTTTTATCTATCTGAATTACTATTTTCTTCAATCTCCCAAGGTTAGTCTATACAACTTCTGGTTTCTTGTGTATATTAGTAATTGTTACACAAAGACAAACACCAACAAACATTGGTTTTGTCCATATTGTGATTTGAGCTAGCATAAAATTTTGCATTAAATTACTTCATCTTGCTTTGATAGTGGTTAACACTTAAAACTCATGTATTTCATTTTTATTTTTTGTTTTTTTGGCAGGAGGTGGACCAGAGTGAAATTTCAAGAGGTTTTTTTTTTTTACTATTACATGATTTGAGCTCACTAAGGGTTTCACGGTAAACCTAGTGCATATATAAAATGGAGAAAGAAGAAAACTACTCAGTACGCAAAATCCAAGAAAACCTTTATCTTCATTGTTTGTTATATTGTATTTTCTTGTTGACTCATCATTACATGACTATGCTGTTTTTCTTTCAACCTGAAATGTTGCAGGGTTCCATTCCTGGAAATTTCACAGGACTTGACTACACACTAGAACATCATCAGCAGAATCAGCATCCACAGCTGATGAAGCCACAGATTGGAGAAGCATCGGGTGACGATGGCAGTAATCAAATGGTGGATTACATGCTCCATAACACTGCTCAGCAACAGCCTATGTCTTCTGGCTTTTGTGGTTCAACTTCTTTAGATAAGTTGAGCTTTGCTGATGTGATGCAATTTGCCGATTTTGGTCCAAAGTTAGCCTTGAATCAAGCAAAAACTCCAGAGGAGGAAACTGTCTTGAATGATTCAGTTTACTTCCTTAAATTTCCGGTCTTGAATGAGAAGTTGCAGGATGACCCTGATCATCAAGCCCTTATGATTCCTCGACCTATCAATGAAGAAAGCAACTCTAAAGTAGGGGAAGAAGGTGATCAAAGACCTGATCAAGATCAAGCCCGGGGTTTCGGAAACACATCAGTTCAACTGCAATTTCTTGGTGATAACCGAGAAAAGAGTCCTTTAACAACAGAAACTAAGAACAAGAAAAAAAGATCTAGAACTATCAAGTCGAGTGAAGAAGTTGAGAGCCAGCGGATGACTCACATAGCAGTAGAAAGAAACCGTAGGAAGCAAATGAATGAACATCTTCGAGTTCTTAGGTCTCTCATGCCTGGCTCATACGTGCAAAGGGTATGAAACTCTTCATGCATACTCATAAAACTATGTGAATATTTGTATCTATAACAATTTTTAGATTGATATTTCTTGGCAGTATAAATCTTACATACGCAGGCAGTTTTATTATTGTCACGTATATATGTGGCACAATCTAATAATTGTATATTTGCAAAAGATCTAGTCCAACTTCATATATATAAAGAGTAATTATTATTTAAGCCTATGGTATATACAAGTCGAGTTGTTAGTTTGAAACAAATTAGAAATTTGACAAGGGATTTTTTCAAATTAATAGGGAGATCAAGCATCAATAATTGGCGGGGCAATTGAGTTCGTAAGAGAATTGGAGCAACTTCTTCAATGTCTAGAATCACAAAAAAGGAGGAGGCTATATGGAGATGGTCCAAGACCAATAGGAGATTCATCATCATCAATTCCAATTCAGCAACCTCAACCCCCATTTTTTCCTGGCATGCCTCTTTCTAGTGATCAAATGAAGCTTGTTGAATTGGAAACTGGACTACATGAAGAAACAGCTGAGAGCAAGTCATGCTTGGCTGATGTTGAGGTGAAGCTCTTAGGGTTTGATGCATTGATCAAGATATTGTCTAGAAGAAGACCTGGACAGCTTATTAAGACCATTGCTGCCCTTGAGGATTTGCAGCTCAATATTCTTCATACCAACATAACCACAATTGAACAGACTGTTCTATATTCTTTCAATGTCAAGGTACATATGTGAAAACCCTCTAGAGTTTCCATTCTCTTATACATAATTTCCATGAATTTGACATGCAACACAAGTCTTATTCATTGTTAAATATAAATTATAAATTTGATTCAAGAACTTCATTCTGAATCGGTGTTGTAACATAAGTGATTTACTTTTGATATTCTATATGTAGGTAGCAAGCGAAGCAAGGTTCACAGCTGAAGATATAGCAAATTCCATTCAACAAATTTTCAGTTTTATCCACGCAAACAGCAGCATATGATGATGGCGTTTAATTTATATGTGACTAGAGTTGAATGATTTTTCTCTGTAGCTTGTACGGTGTATTGAACATGTTTTCAGTTTTCCTTTGTGGGCTCAGCTAAAAACTGGCTAGGAGTGTGTAGTACCTCTATTGGTACAAATTACAAAATACAGTACCTTGAATTGATTTGATGGGTGAAGATGAATTCATATTATTATTATTTTCTCTTATTAAACTTAACTTTTCAGACAGTAAAAAGAACCATGAATTCTTTGCACAACTAATTTTCCATCACTTACTCGAAAATGCCAACTTCTTATTGGAAATATATGTAATTCATAAGTACGTAAAACATGCTATGAGTTCTTGAGTTTTCATATATGCTGCTTCAAAGTTGAACTTAAGCAATTTATACTTCAAATGGCGATAACTTTGTGTTAAAATGAAATTTTTGGTCTTATCATACACAGTTGAAACTCTTTCTCAAAATTTTTCAGCGCACCACTCTGTACTTTCTGTCAAGAAGCCAAAATCTCTGCCAAGTTTTACTGTTTGAGCCACTTTATCACTTACAAATGTAGCCTCTTTTTTGAGTTATTAGTTCCTTCCCTTTTTTCTTTGTGCTAAAAGTTACTTCCTTTTTGTCATTTTTTTTTGTACTTTGGTTTGGATTTTGATTTGTATACTTGTATGTAACATTATAACTTTTTTTCTGTTCTCAAATTTTGCTCTTTATTGTATTTGGTCATCTGTATCTGATGAGGATGATGAACGTGTTCCCTGTATTATCAAATCTTGGCGGTATTTGTGTGAGAAAGTGACATTGGCTCGCAGCTGTTATCTGCTGTGATGTGATTAGGAATAGGAATTTGCGTGGAAGGAGGAATCTATGTGCTTATCGTGACAAAATCTGCAAGGATGTCCCAATGATAGAACATGGATTAAAAGATTGTAGTTCATACAAAAAAGTCAACTTACCCCACAAGCCCTTGGTGCCATTTCCGTAGGGTTGACTTGTCAGAACACAGAATTAGATCCTTGGATGTATTAGGGTGCCATCTGATTTGATTTTGATTTTGGTTTGATATGTACCTTTCAAGGTCTCTTGTCCTTAGAAGGATGCTCGTAAATTTTGCTCAACAAATCACTTGCCAATAACTGATAAATTACACATTTTCTTACCAAAATAAAGGTAAAAGAGAATATACTCATGGTGAAATATATTGATGGTTTTGCCTTCAGTGTAGCAGTCAAACAAGAATTAAAGAATAATTGATTTACACAGCAATAAAAAGTTGAACCCATAGAGGGAGGCATCAGATACATCCATGAAAATTTCCTTAATACAAGGCTTAATTTGTTCCTCAAAGAGATTTTCTTCTTCTTTGACAAGTTCACAGAGAATTTCTTATCAAGGCTGATTTTGGATAATTAATGGAGTAAACTACATTGATCACCAAGAAAGGTATATGCCTAACCTACTATGATGGAAGGTGTCAAATGAGCTTAATTTACTGTTTTCATGTGTGATTCTATCATGCTATGGATGCTTCTATGAACTTCTTGCACTTGAGGTCGGGACGTCAAG